GGCAAGAAAGCTTATATAAGTAATAGTAAATTGTTTTCAAATTGCTATGGAATAATTATTACTAATCCATGATATTTTGTGACAGATTCAAAATTCGAAAATAAATACAAAATTCGCTTGAAATGTACTCGAATAATGCTCAAAATATGATTAGAAAAACATATGATTTGCTAGTTATTTTTGTTAATGTTATCAATGTGCAATTTTTCGGATCTAAACTCAACATAATGCATGTTGTAGAAAAAAATTGATTCCATTGACCATTTGTGGCAAATTTACTATGTTTTTTTTCCCAATATTCTTAAAATAACTCGGAAGAAACTCTATGTTAAAACTGTTTTCACCAAACGTTGTAGCTAAATCTACCAAATTAAATAGATCATTATGTGTGTGTTTATAATAAACTAGATCATGATCCGTACTATAGCACGGGTTAAATTTTATTTAGTACAAACTTTTTATATTATATATTTTAAAATAAATTTTTGATATACTATAGTAGTAAGTGAATAAATATTAATTTTTTTTGTCAGTCCCAATAATGTATATAATTTTAGAATGAATATATAAATTTTTTTATAATACTCAATTATGGATAAATTTTCGTAAGATATGAAAATATAAAATAATATTATTTTAGAAAAATTAATATTGTTTGAACAATGAGTTAATTTATGTTAACAGGAGCTGCTAATGCATGGAAAGTTGAGAACATCATCTATGGAGCCATGGAGATGCTTAGTGGAGGTGAGTTTATGGAGTAGCAGGGCCGGCCCATGGCTAAAACCCATGAAGCAAGGGCTTTAGGCATCAAATAATTATAAGTAGATTTAAGGGCATCAATTTTTAAAATGTTACTGTAGTCTAGTGGTTAGTTTGAAGTCTTTTGTTGTACAAGTCACAGTTTCGAATCCCAAACATGTTAAAACTTGTATTTTTTTTTATAACAGTTTTTCTTAATGGGCCAAATTTTTTTTTGCTTTAGGCACTCAAATAGTTTGGGCCGGCCCTGTGGAGCAGCTTGGAGTTCTTGGGAAAAAGATGTGATTGGGTGATTCATGTTGAGTTATGTTGGTTTTAGTCGTTTAAACTTAGTCATAAGCTATTAAGAATAAGGTTTCGATATATTATAGCGTATGTGTTCATTGTTATTATTTTTATCAACATCTTTTAGAAGTTTGTTTTTCTTTATAGAATTTATAGAAATGTTAAATTCATTTCTCAAAAAATTTATTTACATGCTTGAAAAAAAAAACTTGCTAGTTGTGATTCTTTCGTCGATCAAGCAGACCCTCAGGTCTATGTTGGGCTTTGTAGTCGAGAGAGGTAATGCGATCCAAAAAGTAAGGTGCGAGATTGAGTGACTATTTTGGTGGTGGTTATATATATACTTTATTTGCATATATGCATTCGCATATAAAAGTTTCAAATAGTATTTGGTAGTATTATTTAGGTTCAAATTAGTTGGACTTTTTTATCAAATAAAAAAATTATTGTGTGAGGAGATGCATTCAATTTTTAGTAAGAACTAGGTCGAAATCCGCGCTACGCCGCGGGATATTTTTAAATGATTTTTTTTCAAATATTGAAGAAATTTAAAATTTAAGTAATGACAGCCAATAATATTTAAAATAACTTGAAGGCAAAAAAGGAACCAAATCAAATTGGAATGTTAAACCGAGACCAAACCGTAAATCAATTTTAGTATTCGGATAAAATTTGTATCTCGAAAAAGTTAGAAAACAATCATTTTTTCTGAAAAAACAAACGAACAAAGGAGAGAGATAGATTAGAGAAACAGTTAACGGAGAAAAAAAAAAGACCTTTGCTTTCATATCTGAAAGACTCTCACTAATGACAGCCAATAAGAGACGATTGCTTCACTGTGTGTCTAAAAGAGTTTCTATCGCCGGAGTGCGGCGGAGCTATGTCGGTGTCAATCGAACTCTAAATCTCCTACGTCTTCGTCTCAGCGATTGATGGAATTGTAATTTGGATTCAGTGTCACAAGTAAATCTCTTTCTTTCCTCTTTTTTTTTTTCTCAAGTTCCCGTTTTTGTTTTCTCCGATTTGAATATATCGTCGATGAAATCGCTGAGCTTTTATCTTTTGACAAAAGTTATGATATATGTATGACTTGGGTACTTGAGAATATGTTATATGGAATGATCATCTTTGCTTTTAATGTTCTATATGCATACTTGATTCATATGTTGAAGAGGCGTAAGAGGCTAAGAGCTTTGTTTGTTTGTTTTTCAAAATTTGAAAATTGAAATTTTGTTTAATTTATTTATAGGAGTATAGAACGTTACTCAAATGATTTTTAGTTGTTCATTAAGATCTATGATGACGCTTATTAAATCTGATGATATTTTTTTGCAACGGTTCTTATCCAATTCGATTTGTATCCAGTTTTATCCAAAGGGTAAACATTACAAGTAAATTGAAGTCCAACAATTCTATTCTAAAACATTAAGCTCATATGTTAGAGCTCAAGAACAAATAGGACAACGATTAAGAAAAGAGGAGGGATGATTATTGGCAAAAAAATCTGATGTGTATTAATCCAAATGTTTTCATTGGATGATGATTTTAATGATGTGTCATGCCCAGAACACTCCAAAAAGCTGAGGTGTCAGCACTGTAGAGAAACCTTTGTGTTTTTATTGTATTTGTAATATTTTCATTCCTTTGACACTTTTAAAAATTGAAATGTGATAAATCAACAAAAGAACGGAATCAATGTTTTGTACAAGCAGTTGTACGGTATGCTATAAATTTGTAAACTTGTAGCTTTGTGCCTTTGCATGATCTTTGGATAGCTGTTATGATATGATGATGATTATATTATGTTCAGAATGATGGTTATTACTTTGTCGAATAATAGTTTATGAAAAATGGGTAGAAAAACTCTTATTTTTAAAAAAAACACATAAAAACCCCCCAACACTTTAATTGTTAGCATTAGCATAAAGGTTAGGAACGAGTAATTGGAAGATCTCGTCCCATATCTAACCTGTTATTGTATCTGTTGGAATAAACTCAACACTTTAACAGTTATGAACATTTTTGAACAAGAAATTTGTCTCTGCTTAGTATTTGGGCTCCAACACCTACTTCTTGTAGAGTTATATTGGAAAGTTATTCTTAGCTGTTTATGTTTCCACCGGATAAGGTGTTTGAACTATGACTTATGGAATGTGTGTGTGGTGTGGACTATTGGGTCTACTTTTCTTTTGGCCCATATTACAAGTCTCATTCCTCATCAAAAGATCTCTGATTAAAACATGATTACCTTAATCCTATAAACTCTTCCATTGGTTCCAAACACTAATCCAACAAACTCTTCTTTTGGTTCACAATTTTCAGTAGTTCTTTGTAGTTGGGCTATTTTATGGCTTTAAATATAAATTTGGGCTAGACCTACTAAACATTATGGACTAGAGTGGACATGTAATTGTTTACTTTTGCTATTTCTATTGAAAACCTTTAACCCATACAAAATTATTATTATTGTATGTTAAATACGAAATATGAAAATCAAAATTTCATCACTAACTAAACATTATGCCCTTATAATATTTCTCGACCTCCCAAACATTTAAAGCAAAACTCTACATAATCCACTACCCTAATCATTCAATTGGGAATTAGTTTGTGCTGTAATGTTATATTTCACACACAAAAAATAACGCTTCATGTCCTGGATTTAAAAGGACTGTGTTTTTGAGGGCACATATACGCTAAAAAGATGCCTTGGTACGAATAAGAATGTCTTCAAATTGTGTGTGATTCAACTATCTAAGCTCTGTCTTCAATGTTTTGAGTTTGGTTAATTAGATTTTAATTGTTGAGTTTATTGATATTGGGAGTTATTTTACGTTTTAGTTTTTTACTAAAAGGTGAAAGTTTAAAAATCCATTAAAAAAGAGGTTTTAAAATGTTTTTAGAAAAAGTGGGGTTTTTTACCCATTTCCATTATTTTGTAAAGATTTATTAATGGTATTGATTACTGAATATTACTTTGTTCTCTCATTACTTAAATCATTTGTTTCGGCATTAATTGATTGCGACTCCATACATGATTAAGGGTCAGAAATTTTTGGACACAGCTATATGTGTTTTGAAAAAGGTTTGGACACAACCACTACTCTTCATCACCATGACTCATTTCTTTTGCTTTATGTTTATATTAATATATCCTTTAATATAGTTTCATCTTTCCTTCATATAGTATAGTTTTATGTAACATAAAGGCAATATATCTTTTCAAATGAGAAGATTTTGTTACAATAAACTTATCATCATGCACGTTGACAAATCCATGGTCGAAGATAAGACAAGAAAAACATTAAGAAATGAATCAAGAACAGCTACCACACGGACTACAGAACAAACCCGTGAGTTAGCAAAATAAAGAAGTGGTAAAATCAAAATCATTCTTGTGTTTAGAAAGTAAATTCAAATGTTTTAGGGACTTTTTTTTTTTTTGGTATTCATAGTAAACCACTTCGGTATTCGTATGTTGAGTGATCATATTTCATGAAATCGGTTTTTAAGAAAAGCGAAGTAAAACATTGAAGGTTCCTTAAGTGATCAACAGTCCTGGTGATCAAACTACTTGACCAACCCATGTTTAGAGTATACAGTATATCCACTCTACCCAAAGGTTTGGTAATTAGCTTTCGGTTTCACATGATCTTGGTTCTACTAAAGTGTTATGTATAGAGACTAGAGAGAAACAGTAAGATAGTATTTTTGTGAACTATATTGACCAACGTCAATTTCTTAACTCCAAAAACATTTGTGTATTCGATGCTAAACAAAAATAATAATAAACAGTCTCATTTCCTTTTTTTTTTCTTTTTTGCGTAAGAACTAAAACCTAGAGATCGATCTCTTTCTTAAAAAATAATTTTTTGGCCTTAAAGCTAAGTTGAATATGCTTGTTAAGAAATTTTCACAAGAGGTAATTTTCTTTACTGGATGTAAAGTTACAGTTTTTTTACTCAGAACATAATAATCATCAAAGATCATAATTAAAGTCTATCACAGATACAATAACAGACGAAATAACCGTGAGGAAAATATTACAAGCTTTCTTGACAGAACTTAAAAAAAAAAATCATTTCGTGGGTTTTTTTTTTTTGTTTGCCGAGTCAAATTTTATTGACCCGTAAAAAAGACCCAAGATGAGCTTAAAAATAGAAAAAAAAAAGAGAGAAAATATAGGAAAGACATTGAAGAATCATTAAACTAAAGGAAAGAGAGAGGATGTTAAAAAAAAAAAGAGAAGCTACTAAAAAATAACTAAAAAATAAACTTCATCTTTAACCATCTCGATCTCAATCTCCTTTAGCTTACTTCTTCTTCTTCTTGTTCTTAAAACTTTTGAGATCTCATCTGATCATGGAAGTCAGATCTTGAAAGAAGAGTTCATCACAAGGAATGGTGAGACCCATGTCATGATCAAAACCAAACTCTTCCTCAGCTCTTCTAAGGAGACATTGAAAGTCAAGATTGGTCAAGAAAGAGATAGGAACTATGTATGTGCTTCTGTTGTGTCCTACATAGACAGGGAAGTGTCCTTTTGGTACATCAAGTGGGAGATCATCTTCTTCGTATCCTCCTCCATTCTTCTTACCTAAGCTTGAACATCTCTTCAGAATCTGCCTAAGCATTGCTGTTTGAGCCAGTTTTGTAGATTTCTTAAGGATGGCCATTTTTGTTTTTGGGTGGGTTTGAGAGAAATGCTTTTGGTTGTGTTTAGAGAGAGAGAGAAAGTGAGTTGGGTGGATATTGAAGGATGATGTGTAAATATTTATAAAGGCATGCATGTGTTGTGTAATGTCTATGTGTCTGAGTGAAAAAGTGAGATATATGTGTGGAAGCCACAATGGCAAAAGTCATTAGAAGTTATAACCATTTTTTCTTGGTCCTCTTATGAGTTATGACATTATGGTCCCTTTGATCTCCACCTGGTTTGTAACAAGATAACCCATAAATGCTATGTGGATTTAAAACATACTCCTATATATGTACACTACTTTACGGATGTTAAAAGTGGATTCAAAATCTGTGACTCGGATCTATTTATGTTTTAGTATGGCCTGATCTTTAATTAATGGTTTTGGGAAAGAAAAAAAGATTGAAGTAAAGTTAGACCGGACATGTCAAACATAGTATTTTGTATGCTAATTCTGCATGCTAATTAATCCTCATTATCACAAAAGTTATTTAAAACTAAACCGCCCATTTTATACAAATAACGGTTGTTTGAGACTTAGTCAGTTACACAACCACACTATATGAAGTCATAACCACACTATATGAAGTCATAATTCTAGAGTTTCAAAAAGAAATGTTTCTGTATAAACTCTGATGTAGTGTTGGAAAAGATAAACACAAATGTTATATATATATATATATATATATATATATATATATATATATGTATGTAATAGATTTTCACAAAAAAGACCAGTCTTCTTCGCATCCCCATAAATCATCTCGCCCAAGTGAGATTCAAATTTAGGCAAAATAAATGATTTTTGTATTTTAATATTAATTGGCAAAATAAATGATTTTTGTATTTTGTTAGTTTTTTCTTGCTTAAGAAATTTTTTTTTTTTTTTTTTTTTGTAAATTAGCACAAGACATATTTGAAAGCACATTTTAAGATGTGTCAATTCGTGTCTCTCTACCTGCAGAGCAGAGGTGTCGTTAAAGTGCGTCAATCACGGACTTTGGAAACATCAATGTACTGAAGAGTACAAAGAAGGGCAGGATTTGTGGTAAGGAAGAGCTTGTGACACTCTCAAACAAAATTTTTATTTTTCAGTTACTATTTTAATTTCCTTCTGCACACACCACCCATGTGCTCTCTCAGTCTCTCTTCCATTCCTATTTTCTCTTTATTTTGTTCATGTTTCTCAAAACTCTGAATTTATCTCTGTTCATCTTTTTCCAAGGTTAGGTTTCAGGGATTCCCTAAAATTCAGCCCCTTAAACATCTATCTTAGTGCTGTCAAATAAAAAAAAACTGCGATCGTGTATACTCGTTGTTTTGAGATTTATCGTGAACAATCTTAAAAAATAAGTGACCTATTCGTTTTTAGTATCGTGCATGTGAGGACATCACGTAAGACATATCTAATGTTTTGCATATTTGGTTATAGAAAAATGAGTGCTTGTGGGCTCTTGTATTAAATATTTGAGTGTTATAAAACTTGCTTTCAATAAAAGATACCGCTTTTTAAAATGGAAAAGAAGATGTCCCGAGAAATAGACCACAATTTCCATAATCAAAGGAGCTGATTTGGTCAAAAAGCCATTTGATGAACGGTTTAAAGGTAGACGATTGCCATATCAAAAACAAGTATTTGTTTTTCAACAATTCTATCTGCATTTTTCTTGGGAGCTATGGCCCCATGTGTTTAGGAGAAACACCTATGTCTCTTAGCTCAACTTTTTGTTGTTATATTCTTTTAAATCTTTATTTATATATTTTATTTTTCCTAAAATATACTTCCTTATAAAATAGAATTAACAATTAGGCTTAGAGCTTATTTGATAATTTCATTTGCTCATATAATCTCTTCACATATTTATACAACAACTAACACTTTATTTATTCATTTCCAGAAAAAAAAATCATGATTTAACATATATAACTGTATTTTTTTTTGTTTGTTCACTATGATTTCACGCGATGCAAACCAAAAACCTTCACAAGTTTTCGAAAATTTTCAAACTATAGAATGTTAATTTTGGTGCTATAAGTTTCCAACTATATATCAACCTTTTTCACAAATTTACAGAAAACAAAATTCATAATTATTCTGAAATTTAAATAAGTTTTACAAGTTTTCAGAAACTTTGTGTGTTTGTCATGTAAACGCATTGTTCATCTTCCTCATCTTAATGGTTATATTTTAACCCTGATCGGAGAATCTAAATTTAAATTCCAATATTTTAAATTAAAACTGCCGTTTTAATCTACGTCAAAGCTCATATTTAAATTATAACCTAGAAGTTTTAACCTAAACCGCTATTTAACCTGTCAAAGTTCATTTCGAATTTTCGAATATGTTTTCCTTTCTTTCTTTTCCTCGCTCCTTCACCATCATGCCTCTTCTAATGACATTAGTTTCTACATTCTAAATACAAAAATAGTTGGCATCTGAAATGAGTTATTGAAATAAATTACTTATTATACATATCTTTCCGTAAAATAAATAAAAACAATTAGAGAATAAAAAGGGACTAAGTTAGGGGCATGGCACCCAACTAGTATATTATCCATTCTCCAAATAGTGATCTCAATATATGTCGATAACTTTGGAAATTTTTTCGCTTACAATAAATTTTGATTGTTGTTGCATTAAACAAATATTAGTTGATATATTTTTTAATCAAAAATAAAAACTAATCAACCTCTAATACGAACTAGTCAAATGTATTTATATAGATATGTTTAATAAACAATGATTTTTAAGCTATGAATATATATTGCAGTTTTTTTAGTTAAGAAAAGAAGAAGAAAGAGTTTTCTTTCTTGCATTTTTTAAACAACGGGCATACTAAACAGTAACATAAAATGAAAGAAAATTAGTAGTATATAATAGCTGGACAGTTAACCAAACTAAAAATAACTAAAGCGACTTTAAATAAAAATGAATTCATCAAATCGAAATTATTGTCTTACATGAACCAAATGACTTTCAAAACCCTTAATGCAAAGACAGACACAAGTCTGGAGCTGGTCGGAAAGCAGATCTTAGCATACATTTTCTCCAAAATTTGTTTCAATTTTCCTTTTAACACGTCTTCTATTTTCTTGGACACCATTTAATTAATAATTAATTTTGGCTTGTCTTTTTTCATATAATTTACGAAAGAAAAATCAGCCAAAGATAGAAAATGGATCGGAGGAATATACGTGATTAAAACACAAGAGGACATTTACATTTTTTTTTTTTTTTTTTAATAAATTCTTCCTTACAAATCTATTGAGCAATTCAAATCAATGCGCTTAATTTTTTCTCTTGTAAATTTGGTTCGTATTACCCGGTTTTGGTACCACTTGGTCACTGAAGATGAGAGAATTAGGAAAATCCAAATTTAAGCATAGAAAATGGATAGAAGACTAAACTAACTAACTATTGTCTTTGACTCGCGCTAGAAAATTATGCTTTAGGCCGAAAGTGCTTGGCTAAACAAAAAAATGTTGGTCTTATTTTGGTAGTTTTGTAGGATGATATGACATTAATTATGCTTGAGGTTAATTAGCTGTGAGCACATGAACGCCATGTTACTCTTCACCCAATTCTCTTTTACTAAGACAATTTCTTTAATGTGCATATCGATCCTACACTCTTTAGCTTCTATAAATGGCATATACCTAACTCGATCAACCTTATCTATTGGTTGTGTTACTGTACGCTCAGGTTTGTGACATGTATTTAGTTTACGGTGCACGTTCATGATGTCACACTGTGTTCCTTCTGTTTCATCTTTTGGACCAAATATTTCTTTAACCACCCATGTCTCCTGTTGCACTTATTACTCAAATTATCGCCCATCAAGTATACACATATCTAATGTGATTTATACATATATTTTTTTTGCCAACAGCTTTATATGATTTGGATGACTCAAATAAGCCAATCCGAGAGAACATTGTTTACATACGATATAAAACACGATTGTACATGAACCGTTCGTGTCAATTTATCCGCTTTAACATTAGTTTGACGAAAAATTAAAGATACATACTTTTTATTATTATTATTGAGATAACTTGAAAACTTAGAAATATTAGTTACACGAATCTTGGGATATATGTATGGTCGCTAATTTAAAAGTTAAAGAAAAAAAAGTAAATTGAAAATTTTTCACGATCAAAATATATTTTAAGATGAATTTGCTAGATGATCATATATTCATATGGGTTTATATTTGTGAAGAAATCATATGTTGGTAAAATCGTAGATAAATTATGTGTGTGTTTTTTTTTGTGTGTGATTAATTCAAATAGCATCGTTATCATATTGAACAATGTGCCGTCAGGTACTAAAGTAGCTAGGTATTTGTTAAAATAAACGAAAAATGTATGCTTTTATGAAAGTTACATGGGTGATAACTCAAGTTATTTACGACTTTGATCGGTCATTTCTGCAAATAAGTGACCAACAGATCGTCATTTAGTGTATATACTCTCTACTTTGTATGAAAATCGACTTGATGAAATTTTTAAAATTAATAATTACTCTAGAAGACCAAGGGATATCAATTTTTTTTGTAAAATAAATTGAAAACCTATATTTGTCAAATTTGTCTTGATATAACAAAATTATTTTGAGGGGAGATAACAAATATATGTGAGTGATGTACTCATGTAATAAATGCAACACACACCCTTTGTATAAATTATGGATTGGTGGTTAGATAGTGAAGTGGGCAAAGTGAAAGAAGGATAAAGATACCTTAATTTATACAGCCCAATATGTAAAAGAGTGCATATGTCACTTTAATCATTGCCTCCAAAGGAGCTGCAACAGGAACCTCTCTTTCTGTGTAATTCAATTTTTGTAGTACAGTTCTTATTTATTCCTCCGGTTTACTTTGTTAAACGTCACCAAAAATAGACATCACCGGTAATGTAGTGCATTCATATTCACTTTACTATAAACACATATTGTAGCTGCAAATTAAATTTTTTTTTTTCTTTTGATAAATGCTACAAATTAGTTTTTGTAGCAATGACTTATAAATTTTTTTTTTGTGTGCACCTCAATTACTTATTAACTAGCTTGGATTATTTTTAATGCTAATTACTACATTTGTGTTTACATTTGAATTGTTTTCACATAGTTTATTTTCTATAAAATAATTTTGTAGAGTATAAATGCAAAAGAAAAATGCATAAAGAAAGCTATATTTTCATTTGCATTTATAATTTTACTTAATTTAGTAGATTCTGTATATTATTTTTTATTTTTTTAAAACAGAGACTAAGTATAGGAGGATTATATGTTCTTTCGCTTCATGCGTACCAGTGTACGGCCCCTAGTTTTGGAAAGGACAGATCATCATATGTGGTCTTAGCATTTCTCAAAGTAGGGTATAAAGTATAAACTACTATTATAAAGCGGGTCATGGTTAAGACTTAAGACTTAAGTCCCACTTGGTCTGATGAAAGTAACATTATTTATATACACATCTTTAGTATGTGGTGTTTTAAAATTATGTGCTAAGCCATGTTAGCCAGATCACATATAGATAACAGAATGATCCAAACAGCCCACAACTTTTGGGTTTATTACTAAATTATTGTTCTTTTAAAAAATTTAATTCATTTATTTTGCATTTTAATATTTGCCCATCTTGAAAATGTATACGTGATCACACCTTTTGATCATAATGTAACCCCCATCAATTTGAGAAGAGATCTTCTTTTGAACTCAGAGCATTATCATAAATAAAAGTCCTCTTGTACTTGTTTTCTTTCAAGCCACTCTGTTTTTAAACTTCTGCTTCATCAATCTGACAAAGTTACACAAGATGGGTTTAATGCGATTTATGATTCCCAACCGGAAGCAACTTTTCAAGTCACAATATTTGAAGAATAAATATATATATTCATCAACACCAAATTTAGGCCTAGTTCCAAAGGGACATGTTACGGTTTATGTAGGAGAACAAGTGGAGAAAAGAGATTTGTGGTCCATTGTTCAGAGATAGTGAGTAGAATCAAAACAAGATAGATTCAAGCTTTATTAAGATGGATAAATAAGCTAAGAAGTTGAAATAGCTTATTAGAGCTTTATTTAGTGCAAGAAGTAAATGAAAAGGAAAGCTTAGTTTAAACACGAAGATCAAATTGACATTTAGACTGATGTCATAAAATGGGAAAGAAAGAGAGCTGTTACAACTGGCAATTCTCTAGGTTAACACCATTGATGTTCAATACTAATTTATATGAATCTATTTTCTTAGTTAGACCTAAATACATGGGCTAATATCATGGACTTCTCATGTGTGCTTTAACCTAGATGTTGGGATTCAATAACACGATGGTGGCTTGACGATCTCTAGTAATTAAGGAAGAAACCTTTCGTAAGCATATCTCTTTACTTCTCGGTTGCATTGATGAGAATTTTGTTTACTTAGTATATCAATCTCACTTTTAAGTTAGGGTTTAGGTGAAACTTCTTTCTCTTTCAAGAGATATTTCATTTTGTTTTAACGTCGTTTTATTATTTAAGTTCATAAACTCAACACAATGGCGGCGAGGTGTCATTTTGTCTTTATAAGTGTCAATTTGTCTTAACTAAACGACATCATTTATTTATGGACTCATATGACCAATACGATGTCATTTTGTTGAGTTTATAGACTCAAATGACCAAAACAACATCTTTGGTTGAAACAAAATGACACATCGTCACCGCCGTATCGTCTAAATGAGTGAAAACAAATAATTGACTAATTATGTTTGAATCCATTTAATTTTACGCTCAAATCTAATAGTTTGTGTAGTTTATTTGAATTGGTTTAGCGTTGAGGTTGAAAAAAGCATTAAGTCCAATCAAAACAGCATATTATTTGAAGAGAATGAGGCGCTGAAAGCACTTACCATATCAGGAGCACATGAATCTCTATGTGCACAAGTTTTCCTTTTGTCATGTTCTTGCATTTTTATGGCTGACGGCCATATTCTTTATTTTGCATACTTGTTTCCTTCTTTAGTGTTTTTGAACATTATTCTAGACTTGTTTATGAGCTCTTTATAAGCTCCTCATTTCTCCATTGTAATATTCAACTCTTTTTTTTTTTTTAATCAATGTAAAATTATATTCAACCAGAAAAACTGTTTTACAAAAAATGCATCATAGAGAGCTGAAGTTTTTGAGAGATTTGTTTGATATTACATTTCCAAATCGAAATTAGGTGCTACGAGTTTGGAACCATAGTCGACTTCCGCCTTCGTATACATCTTGATTTCATATGGAGCTGAGTTTGTTCCTTACACTTTTGTCAATGATGCTGATGACTTTTTGAGCCGGTATGGGAGTGTAGCCGTGGCGTCTACCGTTTGTTTCCCTCCATACACTATGGATTGAAAGCTGAAACGTGTAACGCATGAAGAACTTGGAGAGACTTTTCTGGTTTGGATCGAGAAGTAATGGAAGAAGAGTTTACCAACTTATTGTGAAATGATTGCCTATTGCCTAAAATCCCTTAGATAAGCGATGATATTCAACTGTTCTACAAATTAATAAGCTTTCGATTTTATACAAAGTGTGTCTTTGTGTTTTGTCATCTCAAGTCTAGTGTGTATTCACTTTTCTTGAGTGATTTTCGAGCTGAATAATAACTTGTGGATTCAAGTTGTTTAAATTGTATGTTGAGTGTGGATTCATTCAAAACTTCCGTCTCCATCACTACTTTCATCCATCCGACCATTCAAGCTTCGAACCTTTGCTTCCGTTGATCAAACCATTGGTGGATTCCCGTGGCTGCGTCAGTTCTATTATACTTTCCATTAAAGATGCTTCGAAGTTACTTCAAGCAGATATTTTGTGAATGGTTTTAAGTTATTATTTCTGTCTATTTGAGTTTTTGCATTTTCTTGTAGAATTTGCTTTCTAGTTGTGATATACTTCACTATGTATATATTGACTCACCTTTGGTCATCCAAGTCTATACTAGTTTATATATACTTTCATACAGTAGAGTTCGGATCCTATATCTAGAAGATAGATGAGCAACTGACGACACGTGACGACTGGCGAGGTCCTTAATGAATCAAACACCATATAAAGAGAGCTAACAATAGGATAACCATCCTCTCTTCTCTCCGACTTTCCATATTTTCTTTTCTTTTTTCAATTTTCTATTTAGAGACAAAATAAAGAAAACAAAGACTATTTCTACGAAGTAAACTCATCTTGTTTTGATTGTGATTTCTAGTTACTAATGCATCAGACATGAAGACCATTCCATTGATATTCATCGCCACCATCATAATCTTGACATCATTTCCAGCTACGATATCAAATTCGTCGGTGCCAAAAAAGAGCTACCATTTTGCGATGTGGAGCTTCTACCTTGCGTCCTACCTTTTCAAGTTCGCGGTCACGGAAGCAAACAACTGCCTAATGGCTGTTGTGAGAAAATGAAAAAGTCAACATCATGTATGTGTAGATTCCTAGCGGCCAAGGATCGTAACCTGAACGCAGCTGCTCATAGAATATTCTGGTTTTGCCAAATTTCCGTCCCTAATTGTCAAAAAATCTAGAGATATAGGTTATGGTTTTGTTCTTTAATTCCGACAAGTTTCCGAGCAGTTTCCGATGACATTGGATTGTCGGAATTTTCCATGGTTTCCGACAAATATTTCCGACGAAATTCCGACGAATTTTTAATCGTCGGAAAAGTTTTTATGTTTCCGACGAATTTCCGACGAAATATTATTTTCTTGGAAGTTTGTCGGAAATTCCCCGGAAATCCGTCGGAATAATTCTGACTAAAAATTTCGTCGGAAATGTTCGTCGGAAATTGCTATGTTTTCTTGTAGTGGTAATGTTCCTCGGGTATATTTAAGGGGCAAATTATTATTATTTACTTTATCCACCTTTGTAACTAACACAGAAACATGATGAATTTGTGAAAAGAATAAGTGCCCAAATTCGAGCTAAAGGATAAAGTATATTTTTCGACGAAACATAAAAATAATAAATTATCGACTCCTCATATATTCTTCGACCATTAAAATTTGTTCGAGATTTCTTTCAAAACGCAAAATAATTGACTAGATTGAGAAATCAAACTTCACAACAAATGCAATTTTTTTTACTAAAATGTTGTTAAAATTGGGACACGTATTAGTATGCTTATGTCACTTGTGAACAATGTCCGTTTTTCGTTTTTTTTTTTCTTTGTGGTAAACTAGGAAGTTCCGACCGAAACATATACATCTTCCTAGGTCTGTACTAGCCTTTAATATTTTTACTTGTTCCAGCTGCCACCTTTCCAGTCGAGTTATCGATCTCTGCTAGTAATGTATGTTTCTAAATTGGCAAGTGAAAACGTCGTGTACAAGTTCGATCTACATCACACGTCGTTCTTCGTCAACGCCGGTGAAAAAAAGCATAAAACACGTCAAAAAGACAAAACCACCTTTGTCTTCTTGCTTTCTTCTCCCTCAACCCACGACGGTCAATTCAAGACCAATCTCAAAACCATCATGACGACAAGGATTAGACTTCTCTTCTTTGATTTCCTTCTCTTTGCCTCACTTTTTCTTAAAGGCAGTGTTCTAAAATACGGTCTACATGTTGTATATACGATGTACGGTGAGAAGCTGTTAGGATAAGGATACATCCTTATTAGATATATGTCAATATTCGGTTGTATATTCGATTAGGTCTACGCAACTACTCTCTTGTACTATATATACTTTGGTTGTACATTAATAAGACTCAAGGAATTCCATACACTTTGGCATGGTATCAGAGCCAAATCTAAAAAAAACCCTAAAATTTTTTCCTTCAATCTCCTAACTTCTCTGTTCTAAAACTTCTCTGTTCTCTCTTCTTTAACAACATCATGACTAAACCAGTCGATGGTTCTCCTTCTTCTGAAAAAGATGCGATCTCAGCATCTCCCTACTATCTACACCCATCCGATCATCCTCACCATGTTCTTACTCCTATGCTATTGAACGGTGACAACTACGAACGTTGGGCTAAGCTTACTCGCAACAACTTGCAGGCCAAGCAAAAACTTGGTTTCATTGATGGAACACTTACCAAGCCTCCATCCGATTCTCCTGACTATCCACGGTGGCTGCATACTAACTCGATGTTAGTGGGTTGGCTATACGCGAGTCTTGATCCACATGTGCAGAAATCAATCTCCGTTGTTGACAATGCCAGAGTCATGTGGGTGATTGCTCGAGTAATTACTCAATACACTTAACCGCTAGGTAGTATATTCGAGGTCGATCCACAAGGACCAAAGATACTCTAAAGACTTCCGAGACTCGTTCTTAGCTAAAGCGGAAAGATTTTTTTGTTTTGGGTTTTCAGAATTGTAAATAAAAATGCAATTAAAATAGACGATTTATCTTCAAGATTTAAAGACATTGGGCGTTAGGATATTTCAGAGATCAACGAATAATGGAAACATGAAACCAGGAATTCAGTAATTAAGAACCGTTCTCGAACATGAACACATTTAAACCAATTCTCTTTCAAGACATTAATCACTAACGGTTTCGAGTCTTGGTTTAGTCCATGTTTTGAGTCATCTATCGTGTCAAAGTCCGTCTTTTGGGCCTTTTCGGTTGTGTCTTGAGTCCTTTGCAGGCTATAGGTGCTCGAGCTGGATTCGGAGCATCTTGACTAGGAAATTGCATGCGAAAGTTTAGTAATCGAATAGTCAAATTCGCATTACCAAACAAGTTCATTAAGTTCACAATGCGTCCTAACGTCAACTTTCGTTGGCTAGAAATACATTGCTCAATCCACATTCTTTCAGGCATTCTATCGAACACTTTTGATGCATAGAAAAACCTAGAATCTACAACAGGGTGATCAATCCTATTCTAGCATTAAGAACATGTGAATCAAAGAACCTAGAGAATGAGAATTCCTAACACAACCAATCCATTAATCCATTGAATCTCCTAATTGGAACCCTAAAACCCAATTGGAGAACTACTCACACATAGAGAAAGAGAAAAGACAAATAGATATGAAAGAAAACATGATTCAATAAAATAGAAAAGGAATAGGGTTTAGAAATCTTCTCCAAGTGTCAAGAGGATGGATTCCTTTGCCCAAAGTTGTTTACAAGAGAAAAGTCTCAGAAAAATTGCAGAAAGAAAACGTGCCCCAGAAAATTAGGTCTCTGGGGTTTTTATACCCAAGTACAAAAAAAGGAAGACAAAACCCGGTTTAGGAAAACCGTCTCGGGGCGTCGAGGCTCGGATCGATCGATCCCATGGGTGGATCGATCGATCCAGATATGCTGAATCAATTGGTCGGGCGAATGAGGGTTGGATTGATCGATCCCCTCCTGGGATCGATCGATCTCGAGCGACTGGAACTTTTGGCTTCATCATCACAATTGGGATCGATCGATCCACGCCTTGGATCGATCGATCCCCAGCTCCTGGTGATCTCTTATACTGTTTCTCCATTGTTTTAGCTCCGAATAGGCTCAATCATGCACAAGATGCTCCGAATCCAGCTCGAGCACCTATAGCCTGCAAAGGACTCAAGACACAACCGAAAAGGCGCAAAAGACGGACTTTGACACGATAGATGACTCAAAACATGGACTAAACCAAGACTCGAAACCGTTAAAAACGCAACACATCAGTGGGAAAGTCTCAAAACTCGATACTCTGTTGGTAACGCCTCTCGTGTTCACCAACTAAAATCTGATTTAGTTGCTTGTCGTCAAAATGGTCTGACGGCTGCGGATTACTTTGGTAAACTCAAAGTCATGTGGGATGACTTAGATGATTAGAACCACTCTTGATTTGCTTATGTGATAAAATCACATGTCCTCACATGCTTCGTCAGATCAAACGTCGTGATCATAAACGAATTCACCAATTTCTAATGGGTTTGAATGCAGCAAAATTTGGTACCACTCGCACCAATATATTGGGTCGTTTAAGCCGTGATGAGTCTATCACTCTTGACAGCATTTACTCAGACATCATCGCAGAAGAACGACACTTAACTGTAGCAAGGAGTAAAGAAGAACGCGTTGATGCAATTGGCTTTGCGGTTCAAACCGGAGTTAATGCAATAGCCTCTGTGACTCGCGTCAATAATCTCGGCCCTTGTACTCACTGTGGCAGGTCAAACCACAATGCCGATACATGCTTCAAACTTCATGGCGTTCCCGAATGGTACACTGAAAAATATGGTGAGACTGCCTCCGGACGTGGTCGGGGTCGCAACAGTGCTCCTCGAGGCAGAGGCAGGGGACACGGCTACTCATATCGGGCCAACAACGCACAAACATTGTCTCCGCCTTCTGTTTCTGCTGAATTCCCAGACATACCAGGAGTAAGCAAAGAAGCATGGTCAGCTATCAAAAATCTCTAAAAACCAGAGTCTTCTGCTTCAAATGAAAAACTCTCTGGTAAGACAAATTGTGTTGATTTTCTTATTGATTCTGGAGCTTCTCATCATATGACTGGCTTTCTAGACTTGCTCACTGAAATTTATGACATTCCTCATAGTGTTGTTGTTCTACCTAACGATAAACACACGATAGCTACAAAAGAAGGAACACTTTTACTTGGTGCAAATATGAAAATTAGTCACGTTCTATTTGTGCCGGATCTATCGTGTACACTAATCTCTATGGCTCGTCTTCTTCGTGAACTGCACTGCTTTGCAATGTTCAATGATAAAGTTTGCGTGATATAGGACCGTATTTCCAAGACAGTGATTGGAGTTGGTGAAGAGAGGAATGGAGTTTATCACTTGCAAGGTACTGTTTCAGCAAGTGCTAATGCGGTTAAGAGGAAATCTGGCAAGGCCTTGTGGCATATGCGACTAGGACATCCATCTTCGAAAGTTCTTGCTTCTATTTTACCTACTTTAGATATTTTAGACAGTTGTAGTTCTGATTTAAAGACGATTTGTGACGTTTGTGTTCGAGCCAAACAAACTAGATCAAGTTTTTCTGAAAGTTTCAATAAAGCAGAGGAGTGTTTTTCTTTGATTCATTGCGACGTTTGGGGAGCTTACAAACTTGCTTCTTCTTGTGGAGCTCATTATTTTCTGACCATTGTCGATGATCACTCTCGCGCCGTTTGGACACATCTCATGGTTGCTAAAAGTGAGGTAGCTCCTCTTCTACAAAAGTTTATTGCAATGGCACTTCGTCAATTCAACAAACAAGTTAAGATAGTGAGAAGTGACAATGCTACTGAATTCATGAGTCTAAAAGCTTACTTTGCTTACAATGGTATTATTCATCAAATATCATGTGTTTATACGCCTCAGCAAAATGGACGCGTCGAGCGTAAACATCGTCACATCTTGAATGTAGCACGGTCGCTCTTGTTTCAAGCATCTCTTCCTACAAGATTCTGGGGAGAAAGCATACTCACTGCCGCTTATCTCATAAATCGAACACCTACTCCAATTCTCAATAGCAAAACACCCTATGAGATCCTCTACTCTTCTTTGCCAGCTTATGATCAACTCTGTGTGTTTGGCAGCCTCTGTTTTGCAAAGAAACAGTTACCTCACTCCGATAAATTCCAAGCACGAGGACGCAAAGGCATTTTCGTAGGCTATCCTCACGGACAGAAAGGATGGCGGATTTATGACATTGAATCACACGAATTCTTTGTCTCTCGTGATGTCATATTTCAAAAAGACACATTTCCTTTTGCTGCAACAGAGAATATGACTTCAGCGACCAACTCTTCTCCGGGTATAACTTCTCCAGTTTTGGCTTATGATGATGATGATTTTGACCTGCCTACTAGCCCAGACAATACACAGCTGGTTGTTACTCCTACTACAGAACCTAATCCGGTTCTAGATACCAGTCCCGACTCTACTCCACGCCCTTCTATTGTTCATACAACGCCTGCAGCTACACCTCCTGCTCCTATTGTTCCTCTTCGACGTGGTCTAAGAAATAGACAAGAATCAGTCCGTCTAAAGGATTACGAAACTTATTCAGCCCAATGTGACTACATTACTCCTCCTCCGACACTCTCTTCTTCAACTGAAGCTGTTTGTAAATGTGTCTATCCCATGGCTAATTTTGTATCTTGTGAAAGGTTCTCTGAGAGTCATCAACATTTCCTTGCTGCCATTAGTATGTTTGATCCACCAAATACGTACAATCAAGCTGTTAAAGAAAAGGAATGGCGTAATGCAGTTTCTTTTGAAGTTGATGCTCTTGAAGATCAAGGCACTTGGGACATTACACCGCTTCCTCATGGAGTTAAACCTATTGGCTTAAAGTGGGTTTTTCGTATCAAGTACAACTCTGACGGTACTATAGAACGATACAAAGCACGTCTAGTTGCCTAGGGAAATCATCAAAAAGAGAAAGTTGATTTCACTGAAACGTTTGCTCCGGTGGTCAAGATGCAAACTGTTCGACTCTTATTAGATGTAGCGGCAGCCAAGAATTGGGAACTCCATCAAATGGACGTTACCAACGCCTTTTTCACGGTGATTTGAAAGAAGACATCTACATGAAACCACCTCCGGGATTCAAGACAGCGGATCCTTCTCATGTTTGCAAGTTAAAGAAATCTATCTACGAACTAAAACAGGCGCCTCGTTGTTGGTTTGAAAAACTATCGGTCTCTCTTCTCAAGTATGGCTTTGTTCAGTCTAAGAAAGACTACTCTTTATTCACATCAATTCGAGGCTCCACTGTTCTTCATGTGATTGTCTACGTAGATGATCTTGTTATTTGTGGGAATGATGCGTCAGTAATTGCTAAGTTCAAAACCTATCTCAGTCAATGCTTCAAAATGAAGGATCTTGGTCCTTTGAAATATTTTTTGGGCATTGAGGTCGCCCGCAATCCGGAAGGTATATTTTTGTCTGAAAGAAAATATTGTTTTGATGTTATAGAGGAATGTGGTCTTTCGGGTTCACGGCCTGCGGAAACGCCTTTGAAACAGAATCACAAGCTCGCTTCCTCTACAAGCTCGTTGTTTTCAGAACCCGAAAAATATCGTCGTCTCGTTGGAAGACTTGTATATCTCACTCATACAAAACCAGAGATCTCCTATGTGGTTAACATGCTAGCTCAATTCATGCAAAAACCTCTCTTGGATCATTGGGAAGCTGTTCTTCATCTAGTTCGCTACTTGAAAGGATGTCCTGGCCAAGGTATTCTTCTATCCTCTAGTTCTGACTTGCAACTCAAGGCATTTAGCGATTCCGATCATGCTGGCTGCCCACTTACAAGGAGATCCTTAACCAGCTATTTGGTAAAACTTGGTAAATCTCCGGTCTCTTGGAAAACAAAGAAGCAAGATAAAGTTTCTCGCTCTTCCGCTGAAGCCGAGTATCGCGCCATGGCTATGACATGTCAAGAACTAATCTGGGTGAAAGAAGTACTGATATCTCTCGGCATAACACATAATCAACCAATGCAATTGTTTTGTGACAGTCAGTCCGCTCTTCACATTGCTTCTAATCCGGTGTTTCACGAACGCACAAAGCATATCGAATCCGATTGTCACTTCATACGGGACGAACTCATTGCCGGCAACATTGTCTTCTCTCACATTTCTACGACAGTCCAACCTGCAGACATTTTTACTAAAGCTCTAGGAAGTCAACAATTTCGATTTTGAAGAGACAAGTTGGGCGTTTGTAATCTCCACGCTCCAACGTGAGGGGGAGTGTTAGGATAAGGATACATTCCTTATTAGATATATGTCAATATTCGGTTGTATATTCGATTAGGTCTACGCAACTACTCTCTTGTACTCTATATACTTTGGTTGTACATTAATAAGACTCAAGGAATTCCATAACTTTGGCAGAAGCCTTACTATATTATGGTTATACAGTTGTTTAACACAACTAAAGTAGTCCGCTATTTGTTAAATTGTACGTTCATTGTGGATTCATTCAAAACTTCCATCTCCATCACTACCTTCATCCATCCGACCATTCAAGCTTCGAACCTTTGCTTCCATGGATCAAACCATTGGTAGATTTCTTGTGGCTGCGTCAGTTCTATTCTACTTTCCATTCAAGATGGTTCAAAGTTCTGCTTCAAGCATATATTTTGTGAATGGATTTAAGTTATTCTTTCTGTCTATTTCAGTTTTTGCATTATGTTATAGAATTTGCGTTCTAGTTGCGATATATACTTCACTATGTATATAATTGACTCAACTTTGGTCATCCAAGTACTTTCATATGGTATAGTTCGGGTCCTATATCTAGGAGATAGATGAGCAGCTGACGACACGTGACGAGGTCCTTAATGAATAAAACTCCACATAAACATAGCTAACAATAGGATATAACATAGCTAACAATAGGATAACCATCCTCCCTTCTCTCCAACTTTCCATTTTGTTTTGTTTCTCAATTTTCTATTTAAAGACACCTAAAACAAAATGAAGAAAACAAAGATTATTTCTACAAAGTAAACTCATCTTATTTTGATTGTGATTTCGAGTTACTAATTCGTTAGACATGAAGATCATTTCATGGATACTTATCGCCATCATCATGATCTTGGCATCATTTCCTGCTCCGATCAAAGTCGTTGGTGCCAAAAAAGAGCTACCATTTTGCAATTTGGAGCTTCTACCTTGCGTTGAACCCTTTCTTGTTAACGGTCGTGGAGGCAAATTGCCTAAAGGCTGTTGTGAGAAAATGAAAAAGTCAACATCATGTATGTGTAGATTTCTTACGGCCAAGGAACATAACCTAAACGCAGCTGCTCATAGAATATTCTGGTTTTGCCATATTTCCGTCCCTAATTGTCCAAAAATCTAGAGATTATAGGTTATGTTCCTCTGCCATAATTATGATACTTTGGTTAATTGAAGCTCGACTTGTGTGAGACACAAGCTGAGTTTCAACATATAACTTTTTAAGGGGCAAATTAATCTCTTACTTTATTCTTCTTTAGTACATAAAAAGAAGTTGTAACTAACACAAAAACATGATGAATTTGTGAAATGAATAAGTGCTCAAATTCGAGCTAGGAGATCGTGGATTAAGAAATATATTTTCCGGCGAAACGTAAAAAAAAATTAATTAATTGATACGGTTGAAATTCTTCAACCATTACAATTCATTCGAGTGCAAAATCATCGACTAGATTGAGAAATCAATCTTCACAACAATGCAAAACTTTGTACTAAAATGTTGTAAAAAATGGGACATATTAGTATGCTATAAGCCTATAACACATGAGCAATGTGTTTCTAAATTGGTAAAGCCTAAACGACGTCGTTTATAAAGTCCGATCTAAACCATCACATGTCGTTCTTCGTCAACGCCGGTGAAGAAAGCATAAAACACGTCAAAAAGACAAAACCACCTTTTGTCCTCTTGGTTTCTTCGCCCTTACTTCAACCCCACGACGATCAATTCAACAAGACCAATCTCAAAAACCACCTTTTGTCCTCTTGGTTACTTCAACCCCACGACGATCAATTCAACAAGACCAATCTCAAAAACCATCATGACGACAAGTACTAGACTTCTCTTCCTCGCTTTCCTTCTACTTGCCTCACCTTTCCTCAAAGGTAACACCTTTCTCTGCTCCTCCATAGCTATAAATCTTCTTCATCCATTTACTGACATGATCTTTGTTAAATTCATTATGATGGGTTTTGTTTTGTTTGCTATTAGTTGCTTTGTGCCAATCGGATTCGGAAGATTCTGGCTTTGAAGTTTCTGATGTTAGTGAAGAAGAGAGTGATGCAGAGGAAGCTTTTGGTTTGGAACTTAGCTCAGCTCCTGGAATTGAAACCCTTTGCGTTTTCCCCAAAAACAGTGCAAAAAGTACAGATTTTTACTCTGTTTTACTCTGAAATTAGGGATCTTCTCACTTTGGTTTTTTCTGATTTTCTGTAGTAATAAAAGCTGGAGTTGAGACTGAGGTTCTTGTTGGAATGAAAAATGATGGTAATGAAATTGATTTTTCATCAAATGATTACTTGAAAGTTAGCTAGAAAGTTTCTAATTTTGTGGTTGGGTTATATGAATAGGTCAATCCAATGTAGATATTGTTGCTGTTAAAGGCAGTTTACATCTTCCTTTTGATCAAAATGCTGTTCAGAATCTCACTGCTCTGGTAATTAATGATCTTGCTTCCTATTGTTGGTTCCCTGTCCTTCTCTAGCTTATAATCTTTGATCATGTATGTTTTGACTTGGGTTCGTCACATTTATACCTAGCAACTTTCTTTGGTCGTCTCTCTAAGGCATAGCTTAATTCCATTTCCTCATCTTTGGTCGTCTCTCTAGGCCGTAGCGTTGCTGGATACAGAGATTCCTTCTCTTTTCCTATTATGCCGTTAAGTTGTCTACTTTATATTTGTTACTTTTGTCGTATCTTGTATTTGTAGAGTTTCAGCAACGCATCTGTGCCAACTTCCGCTCAAGCTACCTTCCCATATGTTTTTGCTGTCAGCAAGTTCCTCCAGGTATGTTTGTTAATCATATAGTTCTTTCTAGTCTCCCAAAAGAATATAAAGGATAGAAAAGAATCTGAGCTAACCATTTGTTCATGCAGGCGGGTGCTTTTGATTTAGTTGGCACCATCATCTATGAGATAGATGGTAAGCCATACCAAAGCACCTTTTACAATGGAACTATCGAAGTTGTTGAAGACAGTCCTCTCTTCAGGATGGAGTCAGTCTTCCTTAGTGGCCTTTTGATTTTTGTTATCGTTCTTCTAGCCATATATATCCAAAATGGTTTGAAGCATATGACCAAGGTACATCCCATTTCGCTATCTTATTACACTTTCCATTCCATGTGTCATTTTCTATTAGGCAAAACTCTGGTACTTATTATGAGAATGGTTACTGTGAATTCTTCGCGCAGAAAGCAAAGAGAGCACCAAAAGTTGAAGTTGGGACCGCAACTAAAAATGCTTCGCATGATGAATGGCTTGAGGTATTCGTCACACAAGACCTAAGAACTTGTCCATACTGGTTTTTACTTTATTGAGCATTTTGGTATTGATATATTGCTCTCAATGTATTGCGTAATGCAGGGTACTTCGTACACTCAATCATCGAGTAAGTCAAAGAAGAAGAAGTAGATTAAGAGCAAATCTCACACGCTTTGTTAGGGGACATGAGATAAGAAACCGAAAACATACTAACGTTGCAGCTGTTGGTAGCGAATAAACTTCACAGAATCTGTAATGCTTTTTTTTTTTTTCTCTAGCTATAGATGTTGGAAGGAAACAAATTTCTTTTTCATTTGTTTAAAAAAACATAAATCTCTTTCCAAAGTTCATGAACATAGTAAAGAAAAGTTGAAAAATCATTAGATTAGCAAGGTTTAAAGTTTTTATTTGAAATTTTTTTTGTTTATGGTAATGTGATACTCAAACCCTTTTAGGTTTTAGTTTCTTTTAAATAAAAAAAAAAAACAAAAATTGTATTCCACTGCCGAGGTTTGAACCCGGAATTTTCCATTTTTAGTAGAGAATTTAACTATTGTCCTACAGTGGAACTTTTATTAAACTATGACTGTATAGTGGTTATATTATTTTTTTATTAAACTTTTAAGATTTATTAGAGCAAAATAATAAGGAAAAAAGATGGATTGCTACACGAAGTATCCGCGAAGACATGGCCACACATGCAAAGTTTAATAATGGCTCCTAAACTACATTTATTAGAGCATAAATAATCGTTGTTTCCTTCATTTTTTACGTTTCGCCGAAAAATATTTCTTAATCCATGATCTCCTAGCTCGAATTTGAGCGCTTATTCATTTCACAAATTCATCATGTTTTTGTGTTAGTTACAACTTCTTTTTATGTATTAAAGAAGAATAAAGTAAGAGATTAATTTGCCCCTTAAAAGGTTATATATTGAAACTCGGCTTGTGTCTCACACATGTCGAGCTTCAATTAACCAAAGTATCATAATTATGGCCGAGGAACATAACCTATAATCTCTAGATTTTTGGACAATTAGGGACGGAAATATGGCAAAACCAGAATATTCTATGAGCAGCTGCGTTTAGGTTATGTTCCTTGGCCGTAAGAAATCTACACATACATGATGTTGACTTTTTCATTTTCTCACAACAGCCATTAGGCAGTTTGCCTCCGCGACCGTTAACAAGAAAAGGTTCGACGCAAGGTAGAAGCTCCAGATTGCAAAATGGTAGCTCTTTTTTGGCACCAACGACTTTGATCGGAGCAGGAAATGATGCCAAGATCATGATGATGGCGATAAGTATCCATGAAATGATCTTCATGTCTAATGAATTAGTAACTCGAAATCACAATCAAAATAAGATGAGTTTACTTTGTAGAAATAATCTTTGTTTTCTTCATTTTGTTTTAGGTGTCTTTAAATAGAAAATTGAGAAACAAAACAAAATGGAAAGTTGGAGAGAAGGGAGGATGGTTATCCTATTGTTAGCTATGTTTATGTGGAGTTTTATTCATTAAGGACCTCGTCACGTGTCGTCAGCTGCTCATCTATCTCCTAGTCCTAGATATAGGACCCGAACTATACCATATGAAAGTACTTGGATGACCAAAGTTGAGTCAATTATATACATAGTGAAGTATATATCGCAACTAGAACGCAAATTCTATAACATAATGCAAAAACTGAAATAGACAGAAAGAATAACTTAAATCCATTCACAAAATAGAAAATTTTAAATACTCTCTAGTCTAAAGTTTTTTTATAATATGTTGTTAATTTTTTTTTGTATTATTAAAAGAATTTTTCGTAATAATTTTAGATACAAAAATTAACAACATATTATAAAAAATTAACTAAAAATTTCATATTTACAAAACATATTATAGAAAAATTTCATATTTACAATTATTTTACCTAATTGGTTTTTATTTTATTTTTAGTTTAGTTTTGAAATTATCAAAACTAACTAATTATAAAAATCAATGCATTGAATATATATACAAAATATTTTTATATTGAATATTGTATATATTTTTTTAATTATATAATATTATAAATGATTCAATAACATAATTTTCTAAATATTAAAAAACTAAATTTTTTTTTTTTTTTGAATATTTATGTTGGTCAACGCCGGTCAAACTGGTCAATATCGGATTCCGGCGAAAAATGTAACAAAAAAAAATGTTTGTAATGTTGGCGACATGACTACATATAGTTCGTAATAATAATATAGCCAGCTATCTTTTTTCCAAATAATAATTTAAGGTAAAACTCATCTGATTTGTTGACTTGAGCCTTTTACTACGAAACTGGGCCTGACTGTTCTTAGCCCATAGTTATTGAAACGATATAGTTGCGGTTAAACGTAGTTTACATCTTCCTTTTGATCAAAATTTCAGAAGAATCACATTGCTCTGGTAAATGGTAATTAATGAACTTTATTTCCTCTCAAATTTATTGCCTCTGATCTCATTTGTTAATTTGGTATTTCCAAATCAGTCTTAGAGATCCTCCTTCCTTGTGTAACTTCACATAATCGTTAAAGCTTCTCTTTCTCTCTAGCTATACACATAATCGTTAAAGCTTCTCTTTCTCTCTAGCTATAAATGGTGCAAGGAAGCAATTTTCTGTTTCTTTTGTAAGTTTTCAGAATTGTATTCTTTTGTTTTAAACATAGTAAAGAAAACTAGAAAGAAAAAAATCAATAAGTAGCAATACAGATTTAAATTTTTTATTTGGATACTCAAGATCCTATTGTTTTGTATTAGACCGTATTGTCCAAGGTTTAAAATTTGAGAGTTGTTTCATTAGACTATTATTATGCTTTGTGAAGGTATATGTCTCTATCTCTACTAATAATTTAAGAGAAATGTGGGCTATGTTTTGGTGGAGTTCAAATGCTCAAACAGAAGGGATGCATTGGCTCGCGTGGGACAAATTGTGTCATAGTAAAGCTAATGGAGGGATAGAATTTCGGAATGTGGATGACTATAATACAGTTTTACTAGCATAACAATTATGGCGTTTGATCACGGTCCCTAACTCGCTATTTGTGAAAATCTTTAAAGGACGGTACTATAGGAAGTCAGATCCAATGGATCCAATTAAATCATACTCTCCATCCTACGGTTAGAGAAGTATGGTATCAGCTAGATCTCTAGTTAACAAAGGACTAATTAAAAGGGTCGGCTCTGGTGAGTCCATCTCAGTATGAGAGGACCCCTGGATTCCAGCTCAATTTCCGAGACCATCAAAAAGTAATGGTTCCTCTTCTGAACCTTTACTCAAAAGTTATAAATCTAATCGATACGCGGACGAATTCCTGGGACATAGATAGGCTAAATGCCATTTTTGATTCGGAGGATGTCCAGTTGATTAACGCTATACCCCTGGGTACGTTGTCAAAACCAGATGTGATGGGATGGCATTTCACAAAATCTGGTAAATATACAGTAAAATCAGGATGCCACACAGCTCGTCTTGATAACCCGACGAATTCTTTATTAGGTGGTTGTGGGCCAGATATTAAACCACTTAAAGCATTTACGTGGAAGATAAAGTGTCCTCCCAAATTAAGGCATTTTATGTGGCAGACATAGAATGGGTGTGTTTCGGTTACATCCAATTTTCGGAAACGAGGTATAAATTGCGATGTAGGATGTGACAGATGTGGGGGGTCAGAGGAGAAAATTAATCATGTCCTGTTTGAATGCCCACATGGACGCCAAACATGGGATTTATCACATATCCCAACGGCACCTGAAGCTTTTCCTTTAGGCTCACTCTATGCAAATATGGATTACTTATTTTGGCGAACATCACCTGATGTCTATACAGCTATGTTCCCATGGATTCTTTGGTACCTTTGGAAAGCTAGAAATGATAAAGTTTTCAATAATGTGGACAAAAGTCCCATTGACATTTTACGGCTAGCAGAGAACGAAGAGCAAGCATGGCAGTTGGCTCAGGTAGAAATCCTGGATGACAATGTAGATCCCGGGGTGGTGGATACTCATTTGGTTCCTAGAAGTGAACATATACGGCTGCCCGAAAACGGCTATCGGTGCTACGTAGATGGTTTTTGGAAAGATAGTGACTGTTTTTCTGGATTAGGATGGTTTTGTTGTTATCCGAATGATGGAACGCAAGACATGGGAGCTTCAAACCTTAGAAGAAGCTTAACCTCACTTCACACAGAGGTCGAAGCCTTAATCTGGGAGATGAGATGTATAATCGGCCAAGACAAGAGAGAAGTAGCTTTCCTCACAGACTGCTCTGACCTGGTGAAGATGGTGTCTTCCCCGCAAGAGTGGCCAGCGTTCGCAACATATCTAGAAGCAATTCAGAGTGACAAAGAAGAGTTTGAATTTTTTTCCTTATCGTTAGTTTCTCGAAATGCAAATGTGAAAGCGGATAAATTGGCTCGAAATGTTTGTACCCAATACTATCACCTATGTAAACAATATTCCTCAGAATTGGCTTATTTGAGTCAATCTAATATAGCTATTGCCAAAAAAAAAAAAAAAAAAAAAAATTTGGGCTATGTAGTTAAAATGCGATTTGTAAATCTGATATATTAGTTTGGATACTCGAGACCCTTTTATAATTTATACATTAATCGATAGAGTAATATAACGAATCATATAATTTTCTAAACTTAATAAAACTCCTTGTGCACAACTTTTTCTAATCTTGAAAGAAGAATAAGAGAACAAAGACATGCAATTTAAGGGATGTTTTGGAATGTGGATTTTAAATCATTTGGTGGATTTTAGAATTGATGAGATTTTAGGTGAATTTGAGGGATGTTTAAGTGATTTACTAGATTGTAAGATTTATTTTTAAACTTCAAGTTATTAGTCGTTTGTGATCAATATTACTGACGTCCCTCCTACAAACAACATACATAAAAAGAACATGTATGATGTTTGTAGTTTCAAGTAAAGTAAATACTTTTTTTTTTGTGCGGCTCAGAGATTAGAGTGATATTTTTAAGAAAAAAATATCGTGTATGATATTTATAGTAGTTTCACAAAGAGTAAAGTGAGGCGTCTCAATTAATTTTGTAAAGCTTTTTTTTTAAGTACAAAATTAAAACAAAAAAAAAAAGAATTTTCCGCTGCCGGGCTTCGAACCCGGAATTTTTCTGATTTTTGAGAGAAATTTAACCATTGTGCTACAGCGGAACTTTTTTAACAAATACGAATATATCAAGATATATACATTTATATATTAAACTTTTAAGATTTACTACATATTTTTAGAGCTTAATAATAGTTCATGATGAACGTCATATAACTGTTTCGAAATTGGGCAACGTGAGGCTTTCTCAATTTTTGTTTTTTTTTCAAAACCTGGCAACGGAAATTTACTAATCAAGTAAAGTTTAACCATATTGCTACAACGAAACTATAGTTAGGTTACGAATTTATGATACATATATGCATATATATATATAACAAATTTGAGATATATTAAAGATTGTTTAGGCCTGATTATAAAAATTGTAAAAAAAAATTACAAAAGCGTACGCACAAAAGGTTATCTTATTCTTATGTTATCTTTATCGGAATTTTTAGTTTTCTCCAAACAAATGGGCTTTTTATTACGATATTGGGCTTAACTATTCCTGGCCCGTAAATAAATCAATGTAACGACAGCGTATTCTAGTCAATATCTATCCAGTAAAAAGATAGAAAAAACACACAATATTGAATATTCTCTGCCTCGGATCCACGCAACTATCAACCCTAGTCAGATTCAACACTAACCACAGTTAACACAAACCCTTTTAATCTTCCTCCACGTGTCCAAATCAACGGTCAAACAAAATCTTTCATCGTCTATATAAAACACTACCAAAACCCTAATCTCTTTCACACAAATCACAAAACCTAATCTTCTTCTCCAATCAATCTCAGAAAACAAAAAATGGCACCAAACCCTAAAGTTTACTTCGACATGACCGTCGGTGGTCAACCAGCTGGTCGTATCGTGATGGAGCTTTTCGCCGACACAACACCAGAAACTGCCGAGAATTTCAGAGCTCTCTGTACCGGAGAGAAAGGAATCGGAAAATCCGGTAAGCCATTACACTACAAAGGGTCAAGCTTTCACCGTGTGATTCCGAAATTCATGTGTCAAGGAGGTGATTTCACCGCCGGGAATGGTACCGGAGGTGAATCTATCTATGGACTGAAGTTCAAAGATGAGAACTTTGTCAAGAAACACACAGGACCAGGTATTTTGTCTATGGCTAACGCTGGTATCAACACTAATGGATCTCAGTTTTTTATTTGTACTGAGAAGACTTCATGGCTCGATGGGAAACATGTTGTGTTTGGTCAAGTTGTTGAAGGATTGAATGTTGTTAGAGATATTGAGAAGGTTGGATCTGACTCTGGAAGAACTTCTAAGCCTGTTGTTATTGCTGATTGTGGTCAGATTTCTTAGATCTCTCTGAGAGAGAGAGAGTGAGAGGTTGATGATGATCTACAATGGTAGCTTTGTGTTGTTTTCTTTTCATGTTTTGTGTTTTTGATGTTTCTTGCTTTTGTGAACTTTGAGTTTGGTTGCTACCATTGAATAATAATGAGAATAAATCTTTAGGCTATTATTGCTTCTTGTTATTAAGCATTATTATCTAATATCAAGCATCTTAGAATTGTAATTTGGATATTATTGGAGTGCACGAAGCATCATCATCAAGTGTTGAGAATCTTAGAATTGTCAAGCTTAATATATAAAAATATATATGAGAAGTAGACTTTGGTTCTTATTGGATATGGTCAAGTAATGATATTTTGGACTATGCGACAAAAAGAAAATGATTTTTATGAACAAGAAAATGAAATGGATGTGATTGGTCGGGCTTTTAGGTATCATAGAGAGGCCATGGAAAAAGGTTAAACTTTATTGATATTTTTCTATCGAATTAGTGAGAGTTGGTCTTTTTCTATGTGGTCATATTTTGAACACGAGGAAGAAAGCAAAACCAGAGAGCCCCAAGTATGAATTTTTAGTGAAGGCCCATTATAGATTTTACTCTTGATTTCGAGGCCCAATTGCATATTTTAGCTTTACGAAGTACGGATTGCTGCTGCATTTGCAAGTGTATGCGCTGGTAAGAGAATGAGAATGAGATAGTGTTATTTTTATTTACAACAAACACACTATTTATTGATTAATGAAAAACGTTTGCTATATACGTAATTAACCAAATGAAAGCAAAATTGTTGATAAAAGAAACATAAATTATTGCTACAAGATTTTCTTGGGAAGAGGTTATGGTCTTGACATTTTTTGTTTTACTCGTAGATTAATTTCTTTGAATATCATGTATCCAATATGATGAATTGCCCAAATCAACCCATATGAATCTAGGTGCAAAACTGATAAACAACGCCTTAAACCCTTGATCGATAGAACATTAATAGAAAACTAAAACAAAAATTATTTTTGCCGCCGAGCTTCGAACAAAGAATTTTTCAAATTCAAAGGAAGAATTTAACCATTGTGCAACAGCATAAGTTTTGTTAAGCTATGAATATATCGTGTATTTAGACAATTATATTAAACTTTTTAAGATTTATTACAGATTTTAAGATTTTTTATAAAAATTATTTACGCTATTGGGCTTTGAACCCGGAACTTTCTAAATTCAGAGGAGGAATTTAGACATAGTGCTACAACGGAAGTTTTGTTATGCTATGAATATATCGTGTATTTATACAATTATGTATTAAACTTTTTAAGATTTATTACAGATTTTAGACTTTTTACAAAAAGTATTTCCGCTGCCGGGCTTTGCACCCAGAATTTTCCAAATTAAGAAGATGAATTTAGCCATAGTGCTACAGCGGAAGTTTTGATTATATATGAATATATCATGTATATATACAATTATGTATTAAACTTTGTAAGATTTATTACAGATTTTAGATTTTTTACAAAAAGTATTTCCGCTGCCGGGTTTTGAACCCGAAATTTTCCAAATTCAGAAGAGAAATTTAGCCATAGTGCTACAGCTGAAGTTTTGATGATTTATGAATATATCACGGATGTATACATTAGAGTATTAAATTTTTTAAAACTTATTACAGATTTTCTACAAAAAGTATTTCCGCTGCCGGGTTTTGAACCCAAAATTTTCCAAATTCAGAAGAGGAATTTAGCCATAGTGCTACAGCGAATATTTTGTTAAGCTATGAATATATCGTGTATTTATAAACACTAGTAGAAATTTTTCGTATAACCACGGTTTAGCCATGGACATTCGTGGCTAATTTCATACCAGCCACGAATTAGTCACTAAAAAATAACGTGACAATTTTTGTGGTTTCTGGTGGTTTTTCGTGGCTAATTTTTGCTATGAAAAAGCCACGAAATTTTCGTGATTATTTTATTTTCGAATTTATTTTATTATATAGCCACGAATTTGCTACAGATAAAATCTGTGGCTAGACGAAAACCTAAATCTTAAAGACAAACTCTAAATTTATAAACTCTAAACAAAAATCTAATTACCAATGTATACCCTAATTAAAATTAAGATCCAACACTTTTATAAAATTCTTAGTTTTTAAATCAAACATTTCAAATCTATACCCCAAACCCTCAATTTAACTCCAAATCCTAAAATCTAAACTTTAATTAAAATTTTCATTATAGAAATTAAACCATAAACCATCAAACCAAAATATAACCATTACATTTACATAAAACCAATATTTAGAACCATTTACAAAAAAATCAGTTGTTTGTTAAGAAGAAAATAGCAAAATATTTGAAATCTAATCAATTTTTTAACCCTAAACCAAAACATAATCAGTATAATAAACTAAAATCAAATAAAAATAAAGTCTTAAAATATAATCATCATTTTATAAATTCTAAACTGGAAACCATAATTAATAAATATATTGAACAAATAAAAACAAATGTATTTAATAAAAACACATACAAACAAAAGTTATAAAAAATATAGACAAAATGCAATAAAAGAGACTTGCTTCTCATTGGTTACGCCACATTGACGAGGATCACAGTTTTGTTGATCATCCACCGTTGATAACATTAAATCTAACAGACATAAATCTTCCATTTATTTTGTTTCTCATTCCCAACAAAAGCAATTACTCTCTTCTTCTTCTCTTTTTTTTTACGATCTCTACTTCTCTTCTCCTGTTTCCTTTTTGTTTTTCTGGGTAAATTTCTCTTTATTTTTCTTCTTCTCTATTTCCCATGAATACTAATCTTTTTTGTGTTCTTTTTTTTTTCAGATCTCGCATATCAAGCCTCCGCCACCGCGTCTTGAAACCATCGTTCACCACCACCACCACCATTGACGATGTTCAACGCATCAGCGCCGTGACATCAGCCCTGGAGTTCAACGCAACGACGCCGTCACATCAGCCATGGAGTCTGATCCAAATTCCGATTGCTGCAATGTTTTCAACGGGCTACAATGAGAGCTCCTAGATCTGATGCCCGACGAACCCTCACCCTCCACCTCCATCCACCACCAGATCCGACGCCACGAGACCACCGAAGATGCTTGACGGAAAGACATCTCGTGAAGCATTTTTTAATTTTTTTTTTTTTTGGTAAAGTTTTCATTTTTCTTTTTAGTTAAAATCATTGTATTTTATAAATAAATCAATTTCACATTTTAATTAATAAATAATAATCCTTTTTGTTTTTGTTTTTTTTTTTAATTAAAATTATACGAAAAAGTCACGAATTAGTCAGGATTATTTTCATGGCTATAGACTTGTAGAGCCACGAATATTTAAGTGGCTATCTGTGATAAATCAGCCACGAATTAGTCACGAAGCTATAGCCACGAATATTTTTAGTGACTAGTCGTGGCTATATTGACTTATAGCCACGAATTTTTAGGTGCAACCATGAATATTGAAGTGGCTATATGTATTTTTTTTACTAGTGAAAATTATATATTAAACTTTTTAAGATTTATAACAGATTTTAAGATTTTTTACAAAAAGTATTTCCGCTGGCGGGCTTCAGACTCAGAATTTTTCAATTCAAAGAAGGAATTTAGCCATTGTGCTACAGCGGAAGTTTTGTTATGCTATGAATATATCGTGTATTTATACTATTATGTATTAAAAAATTTTAAGATTTATAATAGATTTTAGATTTTTTACAAAAAGTATTTCCGCTGCCGAGCTTCGAACCCGGAATTTTTCAAATTCATAGAAGGAATTTAGCCATTGTGCTACAGCGGAAGTTTTGTTATGCTATGAATATATCGTGTATTTATACAATTATGTTTTGAACTTTTAAAGATTTATTACAGATTTAAGATTATTTTCAAAAATTATTTCCGCTACCGGGCTTCCAACCCAGAATTTTTCAAATTCAAAGAAGGAATTTAGCCATTGTGCTACAGCGGAAGTTTTGTTAAGCTATGAATATGTCATGCATATATACATTTTAGTATTAAACTTTTTAAAATTTATTACAGATTTTAATATTTTTTACAAAAAGTATTTCCACTGCCAGGCTTTGTACCCTGTTGGTACCGGATCCCGCAAGGGGTCCATTTTACATGTTGGAGAACCATCACTTTACAAAATCCAAGGAGCCCTATCTTGCAAAAGGGGTGGTCAAACTTTGACATTAATTTGTAGTTTAATTCATGAATTAATGGTCATGGTCAAAGGAGTAAACTTGTCATTCAAGTTTAGGAGTTAATTGCCAAAATTGGAGTTATTTAGTGGAGTTAATTCTGAAATTAATGGCCAAGTAAAGACATCCTAGAAGGAAGGAAGAGGCTATAAAAGAGAAGTGAAGACTCCAAGAAAGGGACACTTATATTCTTGGACACAAAATTCATCCTCTATATTTCTCACTATTATTTTCTCCACAAACTTATACGATCTATTCAACCCATCTTTGTGCTTGTCTAATGAGAGCTTTGTCCCATCTTCAACAATGATGTTACCAATCCTGGGGGGGGTTCGGGTTCAACATTTGGCGCCGTCTGTGGGGATATAAAGCTTTCTTACTTCTAAAGCACTAATTCGAGGTGAAGAACAATCAATACTGAGATAGAAATCAACGTCGTAACGATGTCAATCCGAAGCAGAACAAGGTCGTAACGATGATGATTTGGAGACCGACACGTAAAGGTGTTGATCCGAAATGGATCAAAGTTGTAGCGATAACGGTCTCAGTCGTAACGGTGGTGGTCGAAGAAGGACAAAGACATAACGTCCACGGCGTTACAACAATGACAACAAGAGGACTAAAACAGTCACATCCCTAAACATGTGACGAGGAGAGCATATGGAGGGATTACACATACTTACAACCATGTCTAAGTTGACATAAATTATTCTTTTTTCTTTTTCTTTTTTGACAGAAACTAAACGGAGCGATTCCAAGTTATTACGTCATACCATTGACAGAGTGAAGAGGATCTAAGTTGATGACTTAACGGAGGTAATCCGAGTCATACCAGAAGCCACCCAAGTCATGATGATGACTTGGTCACACATTTCCCGAAGACTGAAGATCCAAAACATAGCGTCAACGTAATGGCAACGACACGATCTCGTATTGGTGACTTGATGTTACAGTATTGTTACG